GAAATGGAGAAAGACATCACAGAAATGGGCACAGAAATGGAGAAAAACAAAGCCCTCAAGGACCACTCAGTAAATGAGCATCGTACTGAGCCAGCCTCCACAGCCTACTCTGCTACTGTGGCTCCTGCCATTGCGACACAGCCCCCTTGGCCCCGGAAGCAGTGAAACTGCTTCCAACAAGACCATCCAGTGTAGGAGGTGCTGCAGGAGCAGCAGCAAGGATATTTTAGGGATCCTTCCTGGGTCCACTCCCTACACCAGTCTTGGCACCAACTTTAGTCAACTCTTTCTCTCCCATAGTAAAATTAACCATCACTACAATGACAGGATGTTTCTGCGCTTCGGAAGCACAGTTTTAAACAGAGGCTTCACCTACGTCATCTGAAGAGGTCTGTGATGACGGTCACACGACACGGAGAGAAAAGAGGGCCTCGGAGTGGAAGGACTTGTCCAAGGGCACCCGGCAGGTAAGAGTGAGAGCAAAGATTTACATTAAGTTCTGCGGACAGAAAACGGATCCTGCACCCACTTCTTTACCACATTCTGCCTCCTCAGTTCTTCACTTTCCTCCTGGGCCACTGCCAGAGTCTCCTGTACCCTGTCCCACCTGCTGCCTTGTCCTCACTCTCCCGGAGCCCAGTTCTACTCACACCCTGGCTCCCGGCTCTCAGCCAGGGCACCCAGGAAGCAGGGACTTCTCCAGGGAATGCCGCCTGCCCTCCCGCTCACCAGGTCTGGCTCGCTCCAACCTCAGCGAGTTCCGCCTCACCCACCGTCAGGGGCTGAGCTCCTGTGTGGAAGCTGTGAGCTCCAGTATGATGGTGTTTGGGAGTAGACTGTGGGAGACAATTAGATTAGAAGAGGCACGCCAAACCGGATGTCAGGCCTCACTGGAAACCAAATCTGCCAGCACCTTGCTCCTAGCTTTCCAGCCTCCAGAAATAAATGTCTGTTGTTTTGGCCACCAGTCCAGGTATTCTGCAACCTGAAGGGCCAACAGACCTCGTATTGGAACCTTCATCTCTTCCACTCCTTAGACAACGCCTTCCTTCCACCTGGGAGGCCCTTTCTTCCATGTCCTTGGTCACCCAGCTTTTCTTTTTGAAAGAATGAGCCAAGCATACCAACAATTACTTCCAAGGTACGGTTTCTCTTCTCAGTGATCCTAAATCCATCACCCTGTCCCACTCCTGCAGCCCCAAGCCAGGCAGACGTCTGTAAAACACACACTCATCAAGTCCTCACATACATCCAGCCACCTCTCGAGGTTACCCATGTGCCTAGTCCAATCTAATCTGTTCTTTTAAGCCCAAGAAGTAGACCTTTGTCTTGTGTTTCTGCTCCACAGGCCTTTCCCTCTCTGATTCCTTCAGGATCCAACATGGGCTTCTCTTAGAGTTTCAAGTGCAAAACTTGGTACGGCAGTTGACTGGCTTGGGAGCTGTCAGGGGATTCACAGAGCACACTCTGGGTGTGTGTGACTGGGTCCTGGCAGCACGACCTTCAGGGGCTCTATGTGGTCCTCACCCCTTCTGCGAAGGCACTTGTTCTGCTGTTTCCTGGCCACTGTGAGCTACCTGTGCTCTCCCACACCCTTCCAATGTGATGTTTCTTTTGCTTCGGTACCTGGGATGGAACTTGGGTCCTTGTGCTTGCAAGGCAGGTGGCTGAACCGTTGAGCTTAATCCCTGGCCCCCGTAGTGATGTTTCTACCTTGGAGCCAGCCACAGAGTGAATATCTCTTGACCGAGAGCCAAATTAAATCTCTCCTCCTGTAAGTGGTGAGTATCGATTACCTTGTCCCAGGGAAGGGAAAGCTGACTGATACGTTTGGTTAAACCATTTTGGTTGGAAGCAGGACATAAAAGTGAAAGACCGCCCAGTCCAATGGCAAAAAAAAGAGGGAGTTCGGTGTCTTCCAGTCTTCAACCTCCTCTGGAACATGGCATTCAAAGCACCCCTACTCTTTTGAGTGAAAAATATACTCATGGGATAGTCATCCTGGAGTCGTCTGTTTTGGTTAATGTGTGAAACTAATTAAATGCTTACATAAGAAACAGGAATCCCTTTCTCTTTCTTCCTCTGTTTTTTGGGTCTTCACTTATGAAGATATCAAGCCATGATCCTATAAAATTCACTGGCCCAAAATGTAAAAATTCATGACTGCCCCATATGTGGTGTTTTGTTTGATGATCTTTGTTTTTTATTTATTTTTTTTCTTTTGGTACTGGAGATCGAACTCGGGACCTTGCATTTGGGAGGCAGGTGGTGGAACCACTGAGCTAAATCCCCAGCCCTGTTGTGTTTTGTTTATTGGTTTGTTTGTTTTCTTCCAGTACTGGGGATCAAACTCACGACCTTGTACTTATGAGGCAGGCACAAAAGGCACCACTGAGCTAAATTCTCGGCTAGGTGTCGTTTATATTATATGGCATCCAGGGCACACTGAGACTATTATAAAATTTGGCAACATAGGTCAAAGAATATAAAAAATGGGGTGGAAGAAAACCAAGACTCCTCAATGTCATCTGTTAAGTTCCACACTATATTCTTTAAGCAGGCCAATAGTTTTCTGCCCAAGCTGTGAGACTGACCTACTCCTGAAACTTCGGGGAATCTTCCATCCCAAGGTAATAAGTATTAATGAAACTCCAGGCACAAACCAGGCGGACACTCTCAGATCAATTTTGGATTTAAATTCTTGACATTTCCTTCTCAACTGACAATGCTTTTGTAGTTCAAAACCTTCCAAGCCGGGCGTGGTGGCGCACACCTGTAATCCCAGCACTCGGGAGGCTGAGGCAGGGGGATAGTTGTGAGTTCAAAACCAGCCTGGGCTACATAGCGAGTTCCAGGTCAGTCTCAACTAAAGAGTGAGACCCTGTCTCAAAAAACCAAAAAATACAAAAAAACAAAAAAACACCTTCCAATGCAAGTTTTGTATAAAGCTAAAGGATATCTTCTCACTTGGAATTTGAACTAAGACTTTAAATACTCCCCTCATAGTAAAGTTTGAGAAAGCCTTCCCATGAAATCTAGAGGGGTCAAAGTAAAACAACATATGGGAGGAGATTATGGGATTAATCATGCATTATATGCCTTAGACTCAGACAGGGAAGGTTCCAAATCTTACTGAAGAAGCCACTGTAAATCCATATTAAGAAACTGGATTCTTTGTTTTGTCTGTATCTAAATAAAGGAGCAGCAAAATCTAGAAAAAACTAGTAATTTATTTATTCAACAATACTTATATTAATTCTACAAATAAACTAAGAGATAGCTATTCAGAGCAGCGAATGTGTAGTCCGTGTTAATAAACTCAGCAGACTTTATTTTTCGTCTTTTGGATTTCAGCATTTAGTCTTTTGAGCAGTGATATAAACAGTAGATAGCATTGTTAGTTCAGGATTCTTGCCAGTGATAATAAGAACGCAGGCTGACTTACTTCTCTGGATTGACATTTAAACTAACAAAAAATGATAACTGTACTTCAACGATTTCTAACTGATCTAAGATAGAGGTAAAAAAAATTCAATAAAAATACGTTTTAATAAAACCCTCTAAACTTCCCTTGACACATAAGCAAGCAAGTAAAGCTTACTAAATACATGTTCTCTCTCTTTTTATGAATAATACTTGACCACACAAAGAAAATGATAAAAAGACTGCTGTGAATTTTTAAATCAATGATGGTATTCAGATCTCTGTAGTTTAAAGACAAGCCTATCCATTCATCTATGTAAGTTGTTGCCAAAATGTAGCTATTACAAATTGTGCTGCTATAACCCTGGGTGTGCCCCTGTGGTTATGTGCGACGCAGCACCCCTCTGCAGGAAAGAGGGATACACTTGAGTCACTCGTGGGTAAATGGATGCACCTTGAGGCCATAATACTAAGTGAAACAAATCAGACGCACAAGCTTAAGTATTGTATCGTTTCTCTTGTGGAAAACCCAAAGTACTGTATAAATAAAGAGTAAAATAAAAAATAATAAGGAGTAGAGAGATCTTTTTCAAATGGGAAGGGGAACAAGGAAAGGGGGGAAAGGGAGAGATAGAGAAAGGAATGGGAATGAAAAAAATGGAGAAAAGTGGAAACGGAGCTATTGCAAATGGGCAAGGGAGCAAGAGACGGACGGAGCAGGGAGGGACGTGGGAGGGATGAAAACAGAACTAAGGTGCGTCACTCACGTTACATGCACCAACCCCCACAGTGAAGGCATCGTTACGTACTGCAAATATACACTACTAAAAATCAAAATTAAAAAAGACAAGCTTTCTAGACTAAATCTAATACTGAGCTATTCAAACAGCCAGTCCGCCAAACCCTAGCAGATACGTCCCATGGAACATTTTCCTTTTCGTGGTCCTGTTCGGGGATCGCACACCTCAGAGGCCTTCTGGGTTCCAATGATTAGGAAATGAAGAGTGAGAAGGCCAAAGCGGGAAACATTCCTGTACATAAAGAATAACGGCGCCGCGCATCCAATTCTGGGAAGTGGCCATCCCTTCCTTCCCCACTCACAAGATCTTGAACCTAAGCAGTTAATAAGGCAAATGGGTTTAGTCAGGCCCATCGTCACCATGCCCAGCATCAAAATGACATCTTGTCGTGGACAGACAGACAGAAGGGTCAAGCACCAGCTTGACCAACAGATGCAAGGCACTTATTAATGTTTCATTCCACAGCTGAGAACTTGCACTTTCCCCCTTGGATTTCCCTTTGTTTGGTATGTGCTTTAGAGCATTCCATTGACTTAACCAAAACAAAACAAAGCAAAGGTAAAGAACGAAAACCAACAGAGCGACATAGTTGGATTCCTTTCCTCAGAATCACATTACTGCCACATGAATTAAGCTGGTACCCATCTTCTTAACTTTTCTGTCCCTGCGCAAATCAATCGCTTTGAACCTCGCCCTGTAAGAGCTCATATACATTCCATATGGATGGCGCTCTGTGGTGTGGAGGTGGTCTCGTCTGTTTCCACAGCTCACACGTACCTTCGGGGAAATTGTAGGGCTGGACCACGTGGACAAAGCTGCGTACCATTTGGAAGAGGACGGCGATGGGCCCGGCTGTGTAGGAGTCTGGGGTCTCGTATGTCATTGGAGGCAATTCATAATGCAGCTGCCCAGAGCTCTCTGTGGGTGCAGCCTGCTCCCCTGAGACGGAGTTCCAGCCCAGTGCCAGCAGCAGCAGCAGCAGGATGCCGAGTGTGAGGCCCATGGCTAGTGCGATCTCCCAGGCATGAGGTAGCTTCACCAGGGAACAAGAGCACCTTCCTGTGCAGGAAAGACCTGCTGGGCCGCGGGTTCTCTACCTCCTGGCGGGGCTGGTTTGCTTCTAGGGGTGCAGAAGAGCACTCTCCACAGGGGCTCATTCACTCCAGGCAGGGTCCCTGGTAGGGAGAGAAGGGACAGAAAGAGTCACTAATGCAGGTGACCTGCCTGCACCAGGAACTGCCCGGAAGAAGGGACCCCCAGCTTTAGAGGAAGCCCTTCCAGCTAATCCAGGTGAGGACACTCACAGCCTGCAGGGGAGGTGCCAGTGTAAAAGCTGATGCAGAGATCAGATCCAGACCCAGACCTCTGCTGGGATCTGAGAAACACTATGCAGTCTTGGAAATGAACATTCACTGAGCATGTACTATGTCCCAGGCACTGTCATGATTGTAAGGCATCACCCCACTTTACAGATCAATACATTGATAGAGGATTTTGCCCAAAGTCACAGGTGATTACTGGTGGGACCAGAATTTAGACCCAGTTGCTTGTCCTCAGAACTCAAGCCCTAAGCATGACTGTCCCTACAGTCAACCACTCAGGTTCTCATCAGGGCTCCGGGGACCACCATCAATGGGCCGCACGCTTATTTTTCTCCAAGTTTCTGATGTTCTCCTCAATCCGGAGACCTCTTGACTCTACTTTATATTCTACTTATTCCCTCCCTGACCTCATTTTGAATGCCCTCCCCCCAAACCACAAGGGCATGGCGTCAAGATCGGGGCCAAAGTGTTTAAGACACGTGACACTGGAGTCTGCCTTTCTCATGAAGTCACCAAATAATCCTGATGCAAGTGCCTGTGCCATTTTTGAGGATGAGCAAACTGGCAGAAAACCCCAAAGGTCAGGGGTGCAGGCTCTTCTTTCTCTGTTCTCTTGTTCTGCAACACACCGCTGCCTGTTTCCTAAGTTGCACACATACCCAGATTTCAAGATACACAAGGGTGCCCCTAAAAGACAAGGGGGTGAGGCTCAAGAAAGTGACACATTTTACAAGAGGCCAGAGGACCTACTATCAAGATTCCAAGTCAAAGAAAGTTCCAACTAAGAACTATAATTCCATGACTTGTTTGAGTAAAGATATAATTCATAGCAATTCCCCTACTTTCTAGTCTTTTACTTACTGAGTGTGTGGTGCTGGTGATGGAACCCAGGGCCTCACAAATGTTAGACATGTGCCCTACCCCTGAGCTATGCCCCCAGCCCTTGCCCTTCTAAGATCCTGTCGCCCTCCAATTACCTCTGCAGACAGCCACCAATAGAGTGTGACTCTAACGTCTCCCTTTAGCAAAACCATGAGTTGATTTTGCTCCAAGTGGTTCCTAGGACCAAGCTCATTCACCCCACACCTCAGGATCAGCACCACATCGCACACACAATGTGGACCACAACCCCAGGAATAGTTCCCAAAGGACTCTTTGTCAATGTCCCACAAGCACACAGGCCATGCCCACACCTTAGCCAGCTGCTTGCTGAAGGACAGGGCAAGGAGTTAAGCCTCTACCACAGCAGCTGCAGGATTAAAGGCTCAGTGGCTGAGAAAGGCTGGCTTCCTGGTAATGCCACCAACCATAACCAGAAAGAATGGTCTCAGGAGAGCTATGGATAAATTGCACACTCCCTCGGTGAAAATACAGATGGGAAGTCCCAGATGAAATGGACATTCTCACTCACCACTGCACCACCTCACACCAGCCACTGCCTTGGAAGGCAACTGGAATTTCAAGTTCAGGCTTCTTTACCTTCTTCCCCAAAATGTAGATGCCTCTTACGTTTTAAAGTACATTTCAATACTATGTTAAAATCTCACCAATTAAGAAAACACCAGACAACTGAAGAAAGTCAACTCAAAGAGGAGATTTCCAACTTGGTTTTCATGGCTGTTCCCAAAGGGAAGGTCTGGGTATTCACCTACTAAACCCCTAAATATTTAACGTTCCCATTGCTTGGACACAATTACCCATGCCCACAATTTAAAGAAGGAGAGATTTAATTTGGCTCACAGCTTCAAGGATTCAGTTCATGGTTGGCTGGCCCCAAGGCAGACACATCATGGTGGCAAGGCATCATGGAGTAAAGATGTTTACTTCATGGTAGCCGGAATACCGAGCCGGGAAACAGTGCCAGAAAGTAAGGGGTGAGGGACCAGATATAGATCCCAAATAAGGCCTAAAATTAGGCTCCATGACTCACCCTGACACACTCAGAAGTATGTCACACTCATCCCTCAGGTGGACCCCAAAGCCAATCATGCTGACATTGCACCCTACCAACCCCACTGGTTCTCAAGAGCCACTGAGAAGAAGCTCATGGAGTGCCCAACACTAAAGCTACCAGCATTTATGTGAGCATAAAATGAAGTGTTTGTGCCTCAAATGCAGATGACCAATACTAATTTTGTGGGGGGAGGCTTGATCTGCACTTTGAGGTGCAAGCTCCCCTGGCAATTAATTCAGAAGACTGCTGAAGTCTAACAACTGGAAAACTTGCCTGACCAATTCATGTCTCTTTCCAAGGACACTTCAGGCTTCCCTGACACATTTGCAGGACAGTAAAATAATGGATGTAAGGTAAAAAGCTCCCAAATGCCCTTATCATGTTGATTTGACCTGATCTATGTCAGCAGCTATGGGTGACCCTAACTTTCTCACCTATGTATCCCCAGGGCCTGGTACGCAGGAGACAATGCAGTAGTGTTGAGATAAAATAGGGCGGGAGGAGTAACAAAAATAGTCATTTTCTTTCAAAAAGCATTTGCCTGTAGTAGTCTCACAGTCTCTGGAAGAATGGGGCCTGTCCTGCCTATAGGATTGCTTGTGTCTGTCCCCTCTGACCCAGGCAACAGACAGCCTCTTCTCTGGATTCACCCATGGTCTCACTTCTCGGCCTTTTGGCTGAGATCAAGTGGATTCACCCATGGGAGTCACCTTCCCCTGAAACTTTGACTTTGGAAACTACTCTCTCGGGTAAATGCCTTAAACAGGTCCTAATCAATAAGCCCATCTTATTATCTTTCCTGCTTTTTAAGGTGTACATTCCCAGTTTTCACTCCAACTACACTGAATACAAGGGGAAAAAGGTCAGTTTTAAACAGAAGGTCAGTTTTAAACAGATACCTCCATGATTCTGAGCCTGGACTCCAGAGAACTGAATTTCAGCAAACATTGGTTTAAAAACAGGGCGACTGAGGCACTTCATTTCCTTTCTTCTTTAGATGGAACTTCTCAACATCTTCCTGTCGTAAAAGGGTTCCTGTGGTACATGTTTGTCTCCCACGATGTCTTTCTGGGAGGGATAGGCTGCCCAACTTCTGAACTCACCTTTGTGAGTCCTGCAGGAGGTGGCCCTGCCCCTCATTGTGAGGTCACTGAGCCACCCAGGTAAGTCCTGGGGTCGAGCCAAGCTCCACCAATCAGATGCTGTCTCCTGGATCTGCACCTGGCACACCCACTGACACAGATTCTGATTCACCCTGGCAATGGCAGTGGCAATGCCAACAGCCGAGGCCAGCTTCCACAGCAGCGGTCGAATCTCTGTGCCAACCAGGCAGCTCTTACATGTCCCAGGTTCCAGGTCCTGGGTAGCCAGCCTTCCTGCCCCTTCCCCAAGCCACCCACTACCCATCCTTCCAGGAAGTGCTACAATCACCCAGAGACGCCTTATACAGTTTCTAACACAGTATTCAATGCCAAAAGTCGTGCTTGTCTCCTTAAAAACTCATTTCCTCAGCGAGGCATGGTGGTGAATGCCTGTAATCCCAACACTCGGGAGGCTGAGAGGCAAGAGGATCACTGTGAGTTCAAGACCAGCCTGGGCTACATAGTGAGTGCCAGGTCAGTCTCAACTACACAGTGAGACCCTGTCTCAAAAAAACAACAAAAACAAAACAAAACAAAAAAACTCATTTCCTTCACATTTCAAACAATACCAACAACACCATACCTGGTTTAAGGTTTTATTTTTCAACCCATCCTTTATTGCACTCGTTTGTGTCACTGTACTAGAACACAGAGAAATAGTCCAGGAAGGATATTATAAGGAAATTCATTTTTTTTTAAAAAAAGTTTGTAACATATTAAGGAAAGCAAAATTGGGCAGAGGGGAACTGCTAAACACACTGCAGCCCAAAGTTCTGAGGCGGGCAGGGTCTCCAGTCCCACTTGTTAACTCTGTGACAATGACAGCTTCTTCTTCCATTTTGCCATCTCTACCTCAAAGCCAGGGTTCTGAGCAGGGGCTGGCTGGTTAGGGGAACTACCAGGTAAAACAGCCAATGATTCCACCCTGTCCCTAGGCTCATCCTGAAGGAGAAAACAGCTCCCTGTGTATTGAAAAAGTAAACTCACAAGTGTGAGAGGGAAAATTAGCAAAGTCACCAAGTTAAATTATATGAATCTGCCAATATCCAAAACTCCGAAGGAAAAAAAAAAAATCATATGGTTCAACCCAACTCACTGCCGCAGAGTCCGGAGTGTGTTGGAGTAGAGGGGACCTTCAAGGGCCCCAATCGTGCGCTTGCTTAACAACGGTCTGCAGCCAGCATGCACTAAAGCCCGGTAAACCTTTCTGTGGCCGGCGGCACCTGGGGAAGATCGATCACCGCCTCGGGCTCCCGGGACAAGCGGTCTCTGCAGGAAACTTGGGGAGCCTGCTTACCGGCCTTTCCCCCAGTGCACCGCCAGACCGTGCCCCTCCGGCCCTCCTCCCTCCCGGGCAGGAGCCTGTCGCGACCTGCGGGACACAAAAGAACAGGCGGCTGGGCGGGCTGGCGCGGGAAGCCTGGATCCTCGGGAATCCTCCCCCGCCTGGGGGAGGGGGTTGCTGGAGCAATTTAGCCACTTCCCCTCCGCCGCTGGAGTAGAGCACCAACTGGGGCACTCCAGCCAGAGAGATAGGGACCTGGAGCTCTGCTCCCGCCTCGCCACTCCGACCAGCTCTAGGGGAAACTGACCCCGAGCCCCAACTTTTCCAGGAAGAGCCGCGAAGCTCTTGTCTGCCCACGTTTCCTTTTGTTGTAGGGTCGGCGCGTCCTCACCCAGCGCGCCTGGGGAAACCTGACTCCCCATCCTGGCCACGCTGGAACTCTCTGGGCTGGACAACCAGGAGGGCCGCAGAGGGAGCGGGGGTCCTTCCAGCCAGGGGTGCGCGTGCTCTCCCGCCGCCGCGGGCAGTTTCCCTTTGCGCCCCCAGATCCCCCTCCTGCGAGGTCGGTTGCACTGCGCGCTCCGCTCAGCAGACCACAAGGTTGGCTCTGGGCGGACTCAGCCCCGGTCGCTCGGCGCCCTG